AATGCACATTTATTCCACTATGATTTTGACATGTTTTGATGATGATAATGGAATTAGGATTTTCTGGACATTTTTTCTCATCGACATGTTTGTGTACATTTGTGTGCAAGTTGGGAGGATGAAAACACAATAATATTATATTTTGTTTTTCATATTTAATTTTTATTATATTGTGAGTATAACTGAAATTTTATTGTGCTGCACTTATTAAAAATGACTATTTAACGGTGCTGTGATAATAATGCGGTATAATAATTAAATTTTGTAGTGGTAATATCTTATCTTCAACCAACTGAAATGAGTACTTTTTAGTATTGAATTAAAGTGTCATAATGCCTTTTTATCGGATCAAAATTGTGTTAGAACTTAACAATTGGACAAATTTTAACACCCGTTCATTTCCCAAGCAATAACTCTTTGATTCTTGAGTAAAGCCATTTGTACCACCTTTACCACTTGCTTTTACAGATGAATGATGTGGCAGATGGATGATGGTTGGATTAAATGTGTGAAATGTGAAAGGTGATGTGAGATTGTGCCAAATTTAAATTCGATAAATCAGATTGTAAAGAAAAATATACATGTAGCAAGATTATCGATTCTTTCAATTCGTTCTCAAAGTTACCTTGAAGGTGTAGATGGGAAATAAAATAAGGAATAAATTATAAAGTCCATCCATGAGATTTACTATGATAAGAACAAATACATCCCCCCCATATTCGATAATTTCAAAAACCTCGCCCCTTAGCATAAATTTCTCATCTTTCCTTTTGCTATATATGTGTTTGTTTTCTTAATTTCAATTTAGAAAAAAAAAAATATAATGCCTTAATTTTACTTAAGTTTATTTTTATTTTTTTAAAATCTTTTTATACAAGGTGATTTCATCTTAACTAAAAAGAATTCCAAACTATTAACTTTTGATGTCAACTTTTTTGCATATATAATATTATGATAATATTACTTTGATTTTTAAATATTAATATAGTGTAAATATCAAGAGTAAAATAGTTATAATCAACATGTATTGCACATTCTTCTGAGATTTTTTTTTAAATCATTTAAATTGTTATTTCTAAACTTTGGGTCATTACTAATAGATTATTACATTACTTATATATGTATATATATTATGAAAAATGGGCATTTTATTACATGAATTATAAAATGTCTTTTTGTCATGAGGTACCTCATTCAACAAGACAATGACAAAACGATATGAGATTGTGGATTAGGTTTCTTGACTGGAGAAATCAAAAGTGTAATAGTGGTATAGCTCATTATAATATATTTTGTGACATAAAATTTAAAAAAAAAAATGCTATTTATGTCCACTCACTCACTACTTTTAAGTTCTATCTTCGTCAATTAATTTGCTCATGTACTACTAACTTTGGTCATTCCCAATAAATATTAAGAAAAAAATAAATAAATTATAATAAATAATTTCAAAATATTTTTTTATATATATAAAGAATGATCTAATGAGGATGGTACTCATTTTATGCTTCACATAATTGCATACATCCACATATGCTTGATGCTTTTTCGAAACGCTTTGTATATGGGTACGCACTCGATAATGCGGTCAACTTATTTCTTTGACATCATAAACACGCTTAAAAGACAAAATATGCATGTAATTATGTTAAAAAAAATGTGACAATTAGCTTAACAAAACTCAACCCATTTTTGTAACTTAAAAAAGTAATTTGAGCCCAATAAACATCAAATAAGTACAAAATACTCAAGCTTATGAATTATATATAGCAACATGTACAATTTTTACGTTTAAAAAAAATTCAAAAATAAAATAAATTTTGCATAGAGTTGTAAACTATCTATGTGGAACTGAGCTGCCTCCTCTGGTCTTACTCTAGTTTTCACTAGCAAGTGATGCTAGTAATACACAATTTTGGATTATTAATGTTTGTTATTTTGAGGAGGAGAATGACAATTATATCTTACCATCTACAAGAGGTAATAGAAATTTTCGGGTTAGCTGCATGAGCCCTTCCTGTTGGCCACAAATGACCTACGAAGAAAAGAATTCTAGAACAAAATGAGATAAATAAGTGAGTTCAATGAAGATGATTTTGCATTGAATGATATAAAAGAATTACTTATATGCTTCGCATAGGCATGCATATATTTGCAATACTTGACGTACAACGGCAACGCATTCCTATTCATCACGCATTTAAGAACTTCGGTCAAGAGTATTCTATTTGTCCAATTTTTAAAATTTCATAACTTTATCAAATTTTCAATTACATGTTACAACAACATTTATTTAAAAAAATTTTAATTTAATTTTTGTCCAAATCAATAAGGGATAAGTTTTTAAAATTTTTAATATATTTTTCTAAAAAAAATTAAAATCAGGAAAAAAGGAAAATGAAAATTCAACCATCCAATCACGGAAGAGTCAGAATTGATGGCTCGTGTGTTTCGTTGTGGTCATTGACCTTCTTTTGTCATCATCGTCATATTGTGGAAACTCTAGATCCAGAAGTAAAAATCTTGAGCTTGGCAATTAAATCCCAGGGTAGAAACGATATTTTTCTTATAATCCTTGAGTTTGGAAACCCAAAAGGCCGATGGTTTACTTTGAAAGAGGGAAGTCGTTACAGCCTTAAATTTACATTCCAGGTTAGCAACAATATTGTTTTAGGCCTCAAGTATAGAACACTGTTTGGAAAACTGGCATCAAGGGTTCTCTTTCCTCATATTCTGTGTTTCTTATTGTACATTGATGGAATTGTTGAAGTTTTTGGTTGAAATTTACCCTTTCACAAACGTTGTTTCAGTTGACAGCAAAAAGAAATGATTGGAACATTCACCCTTAGCCAGAACCTTATACACATGAGATGTCGGAGAAGACGAACCCATCTGGAATTTTTGCTAGAGGATCATATTCAGCTAAAATACAGGTGAATTCCACCATTGATCATCTCTTGTTACACCTGTCGAATTCTCATCGCTTTAACTCAAAACTTGGTTACAGATTAATGCTAGAAACTCATTGTTATGTTCTCTTATTATCTTTATTGCTTTATGACAAATTGCCAGTCAGTCTTTCATATCAGAAGCTTAAGTAGCATGCAACTATTTGTAGTCGGATAGTTCCAGAAAAGTTAATTTCTTTATGTAGAAGAGCTCGATCTCACTATAACAAGTTAGAACTGCCGTGGTCGTTGAGCAGTCTCTTTGAAAAATGAGTTTAGGACCTGAATTTGTTAGTTAAAAGGATTAAAGATCTTCATATTCTTTTGCATTTTCAAGACTGGACGATGACTAAATCTTCAATGGGGCAGGTACACCATCCCCACGCCGAGGTGAACCATCCACGTGGTGTGCCTGACCAATGCCGAGGAGGCACCTCAGTGGGTGGCCCACACACCGGCCGAGGTGGTGCACCATGGCGGTGCGACCGCCCCACTGAAGTTTCTCTCCTAGACGATACATAATTTCATCACTCTTATTAACATTTTCCATCTCGTCTGTGCAGTTTCTTGATGATGACAACCGGTGCTACTTGGAGATGAATTATACATTTGAGATCAAGAAGGATTGGCAGGCTACTGCATAACTTGAGACTTATTACTAGAAGAATTTTTTTCTTTGTCCTCACAATGTGTGTATCTCATTTCAGTTTTGAGTATTTATGTCCGGTGTGATCAAAGCAGCAGATGATAGGAGAGGAAGGGAAGAAAGAAATTTCCTAAGATTGAGATGATGAGGCTGAAAAATTCAGTTGTTAGGTTTTATTAATTTGTTGAGTATCATTCAATAAAGTTGAAATTGACATTGACATTTAAACAAAATCCCCTCCCTTTCTGAATAAGAAAAAAGGATTGGGAGAGTATAATAGCAAGAGTAAAAAAAATAAAGCGCATAAGTCATTATAACGATGATCCTATATAAGATTTAACATGAGTAACAATTCTAGCCCCAAAAATTCGATTAAAATCTCAAGCTAAACTTAACAATTAATTTATTATACATTTCATGAGATCCACACCTTCTCAACAACATATTTTATCAATTTTCATCAAGATCTGCTAAAAAATTGATTTTGATATACACCAAAGGGGTCTTAATAAAATATACTCTTTTAGAGTAAATGTAAAAATTATAGACAAAATCAAATGATCATTAATTATTATCTACTGTTTTGCAATATTAAGAAACCCGGTGAAGGATCATACAGGGTGTTTGTTCAGAGGAAGTCAGAAGAACTAAGGTTATTTTAGCTTACCATTTTCTTTGGCTTATGCTTTTCTATTTCCCCAACTACTTATTATTAACAAATATATTGCGTCCCCAGGTATGAGATGTAGGACCTTCATATGTTCATCCTTCTTACCATTGTCCTCGCGCCGAAAGGACAATGTATGTTAATGGTATGTTTGAGAAGGTTGATTGAATTGGATTGATGTGGTTAAAATTTTGTCCTAAGTTGAGTCCTACAGTGTACGTCCCAGTACACAACTGGTTTACAAGTATTTCGGGCCATAAATGGGCCTCACGCTCTCTGCTGTAATGTCAACATTTATTATGTTGGGCCTTATTCATGAAGTCAAAGGAAATTACATATATTTAAGTTTTTCAATTCAAAAAATCAGGTATGGGATTTATTTAATAAAAAATTAGGTAATAATTCAATTTTTGAACATTTAAAATAATAATATAAAAATAAATTAATTTACCTAATTCCACCCCTCTTCTAACCCACACTCTCAAACCCTGACATTATCCTCTCGCATCCATCACCGTTGCCCTCCACAATGGCAATCAATACAAACCAGACTATATTTGCTCAACATCGTCCTGGTGTTGCTTGTCCATAGAGCACCTGCCACTATCGGTTTATAGATCGCCTTGTCCACAGATTGCCGCCATCGTCGCTGTTGCTGCTTCTTAAGTATCACGAGATTTGGTGGCAGGTGACATTGCACTCGAAGCAACGGCAAGACGCGTTATCATGATTTGGTGCGATGGCAGTTGCACGTCAATCTGTTATTTCCTTTCCTTTTTTCTTTATTCCTGAATTTCATATCCCCGATGGTCATGGTGGTTTGTGTGGCCGATGCTTGCTGTGGTAGTGTCTTTCATAGTTATTGTGGTGTGTTAGTATGGTGATGGTTTTGCGATTTTAGTTGATAGAGACAATGTGTGTGGTGGTGGTGGTGGTGATAAATGACCAACTATTTGGTGTACGTGACCAACTATTTTGTTAATTTGTGATCAAGTATTTAGTTATTTGTGACCAATTATTTAATTTTAATCTAAAAATTCGATAATTTGTAACTGAAAAATAATTTGTGATCAACTAATTTGAAAATAGTGATTTACAAATATTGTGACTTATAAATTTTTTTGATTTGTGATCGATGAAATAAATTATGACTTTTCAAAATTTCTTATTGTAACTATGAAATAATATGTGACCAATTAATTTGATAATATATGACCAGTAAACGATGTTGAGATTCGTAAATATGCGTCTATGATAATTAATTGTATAATTGTAACCTTAATATATTTAATTAATAAAATATATTTAATTAATTAATACTTGAATTTTAAATTTTGAAACTTAAAACATGAAAATAGAATTACCCTGTACTTACCTGAGTTGTGAATTTTCCTCAAAGTAATATTCTACCATTTGGGCCGCACGAAACCCCCGCACCTGGTTTTTCTTGATTCATGGTGCGGGTTTAACTGCTGAGATTGTAGTAAAAAATTCACTTAAGAGGAAGTTCCAAATCCAGATATTGCGGATTATTGAGACAATCTCCAACGTTGGATTTGAGTTGATCACAGGCTTTGGGCCGTAAGGTTCAAACTAGTCATAACTGACCTAAGAAACCTAAACCTGAACACATATTAACTTGTTTGTCATGCCTTATATTGATTATCAACCTTGCTTATTGTCCAGGTTAGACCCCTCCATTAAGGGACGCCAACCCTGCTTATTGTCTAGGTTGGACCGCTCCATTAGGGGGTGCCAACCCTGTTTACTATCCAGGTTGGACCCCTCCATTAGGGGCGCCAACCTTGCTACTGTCCAGGTTGGACCCCACATGGTGCCCCTATTTTTCCCTGGACCTAACTTTGGTCATATGGCCTTTTTCATTGATTATTATTCATCGTTTTAATAAAAAAAAAAAATTCTTTTTAGTACACTCATTTTCAACTACAATTTACACAATAAAATATTTTACGGTTAAATTTTAATTTTTTTCATATTTTTTAACTACACATTTTCTAAAAAATTACTATTCGAAATTCTATTTTATCCAAATAATGGTTGGTAAACAAGGGCTTAGGTTCCAGTTTGATTTCACAAAAAGTATTTTTTAGTAAATTATAATAAAAGTTGATCAAATATAAGATTAAAAATCGATAAAAAAATATTAGTCTTAAAAAATATATGATTAAAATTAATTATTAACCTTGAGTCAAATATTTATCAACTTTTTAAATTAAGCCATTGTTTAAACTACAATATTTTTATAAGAATGTATTTTTGAATAGTGTATTGATAAAAATATGTGGTTAAAAAATAAGAAAAAATTTTGAATTTGCGTGTCATATTATTGGATTATTTTACTTGAACATAATAGACACCATGTACCCCAAGTATTGTCCAATATTATTTTACTGAAAAATATGTGATTGAAATGACGTCAAATCATTGTTTAAAAAAATATTTTTTTTTGAAAGAATATGAATCAAACATGACCTTAAATCAAACAAAAGTTAAATTTTAGTTATTAAAAACCGGATCTAACATCATTTCTTTTAGTCGCAACATGGAAATTTCCATTAAAGAAGAGTGACAATTTTGAGCAAGGTGGTCCCTCACTAGACACAACATACATGGAATTCAAGGAAAGCATTTAGCGCCTGTTGGATTTAGTGGGTTTTCCACGGAAAATGGGAAAAAAATTTCACCTTATTCGTTGTTTGATTGTTTAGATTTTCTCAAGAATTTGTTTTCCTTCCCCCACCCTCATGTGACCCATTTCCTTAGGATTGTGGAAAATCAATTCCCATGGTTTTGGTGGAAATTGGATTTTTCAGTTTTTTTTTGCTTTTTTTAGCAATGGAAACAAATTTTATCCACAATTGTAAAAAATTCTATCCCTTTAATTGACAATTTTCATGAAAAACAAAGCAAAATGAATATCAAAAGATCCAAAATTTTAACATTTTTCAGATGAAAAATTATACCAATCAAGCACATTTAATTGATAATTCATATTAAAACAAGTTTTAGACAATTCAATTTTTTTTTTTTACCAAAATTCAATTTTTACAATCAAACAGACCCTAGTTGTTTACCCTTTATATATTAAAATAAGTAAAATAATAAAAATAAAAAAGTTTGATAAAAAAAATTTCTAACATCAAGGATCGTTGAAAGAATAATTAGATTGAAATTATCGTCCATCCGGGATCATATGTTAATATTAATAAGAAGTTAAAAATAAGAATGCAATAAAAAAAGACGAAAATATAAATATAATTGAAAATTTTTAAGATGGTAGAAATGTGACAAAACGAAAGTGAGAATGACAATCATAGCATTTAGAAGGTGTTTGATAAGAATTAAAATTAATTTTTTTAGTAAATTATGATAGAAATTTTTGAAATGTGTAATTGAAAAGTTGTTGGATTTATGAAAAATTTAATTAATATTTATTGTTTAATTTGCCTTAAATCAAAATTAAATTTCAATTCGAACCAAACAAGTTCTTAGATTCAAAATCTAGTTTTCTATGGAAATATTTGTCCCCACGTATTCAATTCTCAACCCCGTATCTGACCCGGGCTATTAATGATGGAACATTACCGACTATCTTTTTTATTGGGTTAATTTCACAAACGGTAATTGAACTTATCAAAAAATATCAAAATGGTCACTGAATTTTTAAACTTGCAGAAACGGTCATTGAACTTACGGGCGCTTTCACTAACGGTCACTGAAGGACCTTTATGGTTTTAATTCAAACTTAAAGGACCAAAACACTTGAAGATAAAACCTTGATGACCAAACAGCTCTAACCAGAAATTGCCAAATTTCTCCCACTTACACCATATTTCGCCAGTGCCGAAAATTGCCAAATTCGACAACCAACCGCCTGATTTACTACTAGATTTTTACACCACCAACACCTCCTCATCCCCCTCCACAATCCTATACCAACAAGCAACCAAAACACATCAAAAATCAAATGAAATTCAGGTTCAAAAAGCCATCCCCACGCACGGTTTTACCTCCAATTCCGGCCAACCTGTCATCACCCATGCCAAAATTCCATCACAGGCTGTTAGTATTCACCAAGACGAACATGTACATGGTCAATACCATCACAAAACAATTTAAATCAGAATCTAATCTAACTCATACTAGTTCTCCGGCAGCGAACAACAAACTTTCCACCCCAATTTTCGACGTCGACGTCAACTTTTCGAATTTGCCGGAATGGTTTTTTGAACCTGAATTTAATTTGATTTTTGATGTGTTTTGGTTGCTTGTTGGTATAGGATTGTAGAGGGGGATGAGGAGGTGTTGGTGGTGTAAGAATTCGGTGGTCTATCCGACGGTATGCTGGTCAAATTTGGCAATTTTCGGCGCTGGCTCCATATGGTGTCGGTGGGAGGGAAAAGGCTAGATTTCTAAATTTCAAGGGCAAATTTTGAGCAAATGAAATTAGATGGAACTTACACTTGAGGTCCTCAAGGATCCAATTCACATGTTTTGGTCCTTCATTGACTATTAGTGAAAGCACTTGTAAGTTCAGTGACCTTTTTTATAAGTTTTAAATTTCAGTGACCGTTTTTAGATTTTTAGGTATGTTTAGTGACCGTTTGTAAAATTAATCCCTTTTTTATTTGTCCTCATTTAATTTTTCTGCCGCAAAAATTGAAAACATTAATAATATTTTACATTTCTATTAAGTTGGTCTGAATTTATGTTAGTGTTTATGTTGAAATAATTAGAGGTGGGCGAGAATCGGTTTGGTTCGGTTCGGTTAAAGATAACCGAACAGAACCAAAATTTTTTTGTCTCTAGTAAATGGAACCGTCGGGTCCAAATATAATTATGGAACCGTTCGGGTTCGATTCCGTTCTATTCCGTACTATAATTAAATTTTTTAACATTTATAACAACATTTGATAAATACAACTAATGACACATTCAATAATTTTGGAACGTCAGAGATTAGTAGATTACTTTGTTCAAATGATCGCTACGGTCAAAACTTCGGTTGACGGAGGTCACAACTTCGATCGGAGGTCACAGTGTCGGTTGGCGATTGTATAGGTTTTGGAATGTCAGGGAGGCTGCGAGAGTGAATGCGAAAGTCAAGACAGCGTCATGCACTTTAGTGTAGGTGTTTAGGATTATTTAGTGGGTTGAATTTTTGTTGGGCTAAGAAATGAAACAATAAATGGGTAATTTGGCCAAAAATTAAAAAATTAGAAATGAAACAAATTATTGGGCCAAAAATTTGGATTTAAAAATTGTTAATTTGTTCAAAAAAACTAAAATTAAAATAATTTGATTTATTTAATATAAAAAAAATTAAAAAGATTCGCTTATTCGGTTCTTGGTCTATAACCGAGAACCGAACCGTACTCGTCGGTTCTCAATTCAGATATCCATTTGGGTATTTAATTTGACAAGAACCGTCGGGTTCGGTTCAATTCGATTCGAGAGATTTGTCCAGTCCTAGAAATAATTATAATTCATTAGGACTTTTCACGTCCATCCATTTACATGTTCATGTACCTCTTGTTATTTGCATTACAACCTCCGAGATACAGTTGAGGTGAAAGACGGTAATCGAATCATCATTTAATAATAAATCGTGCAAAACTATTAATAACGCAAAAAAGACAATTGAAAACCTCGTACAATGCCCATCAACTCGACATTGGACATAGACACTATTTAAGTGCAAATTCTATAATCTTAACATAGACTTCTACGCAATAAATCCGTGCGTATAACTGGTTCGAAGTCTACATGATAATTCTGACATTTCTCTTCATATTCACAAACCAGACTTGCGGACAGAAAACTTATTCTGTAAGAAGAGAGTAAAATGGAAGGCGAAATCAACAATTTTGTTATGGTATGGATTACAGTTTTTGCATCTTTAACTTACTGTCACACAGTAGACAAAATCTTCCCAACAGGCTACACAAGGAGCGTAGCAATTCTCCCGGTGGTTTGCCTTTTTTTCTATCTTCCACTCAATCTCAACACCATTCACCTAGGCGGCACCACCTCCTTCCTCATTGCATGGCTTGCAAGTTTCAAACTCATTCTCTTTGCCTTCTGTAAAGGCCCTTTATACACGAATTCTCCGATCCCGTTTCATTCCGTTAGCCTGTTTGCCTATCAAATTTTCTGCAGAAACTGAAAGTGTTTCATCTGAAGAAACGAAAAAGAAAACCCAGAAATCTCCTATGAATTATGTTACCAAATTAATACTTTTGGCTACTCTAATACGTGTATATGATTATAAAATGTATATTCATCCTTATATGATTTTGTTTTGCTATTGCCTTCATATTTACTTCGCGCTGGAGATGTTACTAGCCATGGTTGCTACAGTGACTAGAGTCCTGATCCGGGTTGAGCTCGAGCCGCAATTTGATGAGCCTTATCTGGCTACATCCCTGCAAGATTTTTGGGGAAGGAGGTGGAATCTTATGGTATCAAATATCTTGCGTCCCACTGTATATGATCCTGTTCTGTCAATTTCCAGGCAAGTAATAGCAAGAAAATGGGCGGCGCTTCCACCAGTTTTGGCTACATTTTTGGTGTCTGGTTTGATGCATGAACTGGTTTTCTATAACATTGGAAGATTGAAACCAACTGGAGAGGTAATGTGCTTCTTCCTGCTTCATGGAGTGTCATTGGCTATGGAAATTGGCATAAAGAAACTGTTGAAGGCCAGATTTACCCTGCCTAGGATTGTGTCAGGGCCGTTGACGCTGGCTTTTGTGATAACAACCAGTTTCTGGTTGTTCTTTCCGCCATTCCTGAGGGGCAAGGCAGACTTTAAAGGGTGTACAGAGTCTATTGCATTCATCGAGTTTGTGAAGAATCATCAACTGGTTAGCCCCAATAATGTTACTTGTCCATTCCTATGAAATATTTCACTCAGAACAAGTAATGTTATTCATCACTGATCTAGATTCTCGATTCATTGTTCAACGGTGTAGTAACTGCCGTTAATGTAATGAATAGTGACTCAAGGGATCCACTGCAATTATTAGCGTCAGCGTTGGAGTTAATTAGAGAGTATTATCGCTTGATTACTAGAAATATATGAAAGGGATACCGACAATAATTTTACATCATTTTGAATGAAAACTACAAGAAGATATTCTAGCATAAGAGATTAGTTGGAGTTGAAAAGTGGATTTTTCTAGGATACAAGTGAGCTATAAATGTCAGGAAGACAAGCAACCGCCAAAACAAATACGTTTATTTCAGTTAATTACGTAGAATTTATTGTTCACACATTAATTCCATTGTCTTGGACCATAACACATGGCACAAGATGAATGTAGTAACAATGACTGTATATACACGCAAATAAATTGATAAATTTCTCTGATATCTAACTTTGTCAGTATTATCTAAATTTCTGGGCAAACCAGAATAAAGTAAGAAAGTTGTGGTAAGTCGACTAACGTAGAACTTAATCAAGTCTTATGATATGAGAGTTCTTATACAAAATTGTGCGGCAATGAAAATAAGTACTATTTTGTTATTTTTGTAAGTAGAAGACTACATCAGATGAAAAACAGAAGAAGAAAGAACATACAAATAATTTTATAAAGATGTATAAATGAATTGTAAGAAATTAAACCCTAATACCAAGATATTAAGAATTCCATGATTTTCACATATAAGTTAATTGATCAAGAAACATACATTGATTCATGACAATAATTGAAAATTTTAAGTCTGCAGAAAAGAAATTGTTCTCTCACTTTTCCTATATGTAATTTAATGAATTAATATTGATGGGCTTCATTCACGCAGAGAGAGGTAGTCTCCTATGAACAATAAAACTCTCCACTTTCTATCAAAGTTGATAGTTATAAAACTGTCACTGTTCAATTGGGCCAATAGAATTTTAATAATATTAACCACCTTTAATTAATTCTTTAATATTACATGGGCCACAAAATAATTGGTTTTACATTCTTTCGTTTGGCTCGTGTAACATTGTTTCGTTATGTGGTATATAACATAATGTGCATATCATGAGCTAAAATTCATCATACATTGACCGCTTAACATATCACCCTTAAGTAAAGATCAATAAGAGTTGTGGCGATTTTACATTATCATATCAGCATAATTCCTTCCATGTACTACAGTATTAGTCCCTACCCAACATGACACATAATGAAAGTTCGATAATTGCATTACAATAATGTCTTCGAAAAGACTATCCCTGTTAGCATTCACATAATCTATTCACGTACATGTACCAACAGTTATGACAGGAATAATATTTTGTCAAAAGCAACACATAAATGAGTTCAAAGTGTCAATACATAAGCATCATAATTACATAATAATGTCAATGATAAATTTCAATAATGCCCATCCGTTCGACATGTTCATTAAATGTATTTGGTGGCAATCCTTTCGTTAATGGATCGCAATCATAAGATTGGTGCTAATATGCTCAATTGACACCCTTTGTTTTTGAACTTCTTCTTTAACGGCAAAGTACTTCAGTTCCATGTGTTTAGCACCTTTAGAGTACTTGTCGTTCTTTGAGAAGAAGACCGATGTAGAATTGTCACAATAAAGTTTCAACGACCTCGCTATACCGTCGACAATTTCAAGCCCTGAAATAAAGTTCTGCAACCAAATTTCTTGAACTGTGGCCTCAAAGCATGCCACAAACTCAGCTTCTATAGTGGATGCAGCAATGATCGACTACTTCGCACTTTTCCATGATATTGTCCCTCCAGCCAAGAGGAACAGATAGCCAAATGTGAACTTTCTGCCAAGTTATCAAATCTCCTATAAGCGAGCATGTGATCTTTCGTTCTATGCAAGTATCTTAATACTTTATTTACAGCTTTCCAATGATCAAGTCCCGGGTTACTTTGATACTTGCCCAGCATTCCAAGAGAAAAACTGATGTCTGGTATGGTGCAAGTCTAAGCATACATTAAGCTTCCAACAAGAGATGCATAAGAAATATCTGTCATTTGTTTGCATTCCAATTTGTTTTTTGGATATTGCATGAGACTAAACTTATCTCCTTTCTAAATTGGAACAATATTCGCTGAACAAATTTTCATATTAAATCTCTCTAAAACTTTATTGATATATGCTTTCTCAGACAACCCTAACAATCTTTGTGTTTTTACCTATCATGGAATATTTCAATTCCAATCACACAGGTTGCCTCTTCCATATCTTTCATTTCAAAATTTTTAGAGAGAAATTTTTTAGTCTCATGTAATAGACCAAGATCATTAGTATCTAGCAAGATATCATCAACATACAAAATTAGAAATATAAACTTACTCCCACTGACCTTTAGATATATACATCGATCAACGACATTTTCCTTAAATCCAAAGGAAGTAATGGTATCGTTGAACTTAAGATACCATTGACGGGAAGCCTATTTAAGTCTGTATATTGATTTCTTTAATTTACACACTATGTGATCCTTTCCTTCAACTGAAAAACCTTCAAGTTGATTCATATAAATTTCTTCATCTAAATTTCCATTTAGAAAATCGATTTTCACATCCATTTGATGTAGCTCTAAATCATAACGAGCTACTAAAGCCATTATAATTCTGAATGAGTCTTTCTTAGAGATTGGCGAAAATGTCTCCTTATAATCAATACCACTTTTCTGAGTAAAACCTTTGGCAACAATTCTAACTTTTTGTCGTTCGATATTACCATTAGAGTCACGCTTGGTCTTAAAGACCCATTTACACCCAACCCTTTTACATGATTCTGATAATTCGACAAGATCTCAGACTTCATTATGTTCCATAGATTTCAACTCATCTTTCATAGCATCTAACCACTTATCAGAATTAGGGCACGAGATTCAAGTTGGGGAAATGGTTGAATTTGCTAGCGGTGTGAAAGGAATATCATTGTTCAACTCTTTAACAACATGAAAAAATCAAACGCCTCTGCCCTTCCATCTAAGGCTCTCAATGGCCTGTGAAAATGAAACAGAATCATCATCAACAATTTTCAAGTAAAATTCAGACTCTTGCAGGTAAACCATATAATCATTAGAAATAGCACGTCTACGTTATCTTTGTGACCTTCTTAATGCTATTTCTTATGGTTCATTTAATGCAGGTTCATCAGTGGCAATTTCATTGTGGGATGTTTGATCATTTATTTGTTGTTCAAGTAAATTGTCATGCCGTTCAACAATTTGAGGAACAAAAACATTAGAAGAAATATCGGTAGAGAAGCTTGAACTCTAACTTCTTGTATTTTCATATTTTGTGGTTCCAAACTCCCACAAACTTCACCATTCTCAATGAACCTAGCATTTTCTGTTTCAACAATTCTAGTACTATGGGTAGGATAATAAAATCTATACCATTTTGATTTTTCTGGATAACCAATGAAAAATCTACTGATTGTTCTTGAGTCCAATTTCTTTTCGCGTGGATTATAAATTCTTGTTTCTATCGGGTAACCTCAAACATGCAGGTACCTTAACCTGAGTTTCCTTCCCATCCACAGTTCAAAATGAGTCTTTGAAACTGTCTTACTAGGAACCTTTTTTTGCAAATACATAGCAGTCTTTACTGCAAATATCCACAAAGAAATGGGTAAAGACGAATTACTTAACATAAACCTAACCATTTCTATTAGAGTACGATTACGTCTTTCAACCACACCATTTTGTTGTGGTGTGCCTGACATAGTGTATTGAGAACATATGTCATGTCTTTCAAGAAATCTAGCAAATGGACCAGGCTGTTACCTAGTTTCATCATACTTTCCATAATATTCACCACCTCTATCAAATCTAATAATTTTCATCTTTTTGTCTAATTGTCGTTCAATTTCTTTGACAAAGATCTCTAAAGTATTTATAGCTTGAGACTTTTCATGTAACAGATAGACATAACCATAACGTGAAAAATCATCGATAAAAATGATAAAATACTTTTCTCCACCAAATGATGGAATAACTAAAGGCCTACATATATCAATGTGTATTATCTCAAGAAACTGTGTGCTTCTTGATGCTCCTTTCTTTGTGTGTTTGGATTGCTTACATTTAATACAATCCATACAAGTTCCAAAATCACTAAAATTCAAGTCAAGAAGAATTTCATTCTTTACCAATCTTTCTATAATTTCCTTGGATATGTGACCCAAACGTTTATTCTACAAGTTACCAGATTGTTCATTCAGTGAACTACGTTTAGTACAAACATTATGATGCAAGGTCAAAAGAGTCTCGACAAAGAGGTTATTAAGCTTTAATTTATATAAGCTATCACAAGAATAACGGAATCAATAAGATGATTTTGTTTAAACAAATTTAAACATCCATTTTCACCATCAAAGAAATATCCAACAAAATCAAGTTCGATAAAGAAACTAAATTGCGAGAAATGGAAGGTACATAAAGTGTTTGAAATAAATCTAAATGATGTCCAGTTTCTAAAATCAAAAGATAGGTTCCAATGACTTCAACCGGAGCTTTGACTCGATTTCCCATGAGGACAAATTTTTCATTTGGATTTATGATCTGGATTTAAAGGAATCCCTACATCATATTAGTATATATCCGGAATCAATCCACCAAGTATTATAAGAAACTTCAGCCAAATCAGATTCGAAACATACATAAAAAATAATCTTACATTTACTTTCGAACCATACCTTACGTTTCAGACAGTCTTTTTATGGTGTCCAAGTTTGCGACAGAAATGACACGTATTTTTCTTGTGTTCCTTATTGTGGATTTGGGCAAAAGACTCATTTATCTTTAGCGGTTATTGCTTAATGCCCTTTCTAGATATTTTTTTATATTTCTTTCCAACTCCTTGATGACTTATGAGATGAACAGAATGAGTTCCTTGATTCTTAAGCATTGTCTCCTCTTGCACGAGCATAATGTGCAATTCATCCACATTATATTTATCCTTTAAGATATTATAGTTCATATGAAATGGACCGTACTCGCGAGGCAAGGAATTGATGATAAATTGTACCAGAAAGTTCTTACCCACAGTCATCCCAAGAGTCTTAAGTCTTGTTACAGTGTTACTCATTTCAGTAACATGCTTTTGC